TTACTTGGGTCTGAGAGGCTGCAGGACCGGTCAGGACACAGGAGAACTTCCAGCTACATTTGGCGCCCAACGTGGTAGCAAGAATTTCCACCAAAAACCTGAGAAAGCTTTAAAAAAAAGATTCTAAAATGGATCTAAAAACAGCTTCCTAAATGTGTCGCTCAGGCAAGCTGTGAGCTACACTGTGGTGGGTTCTCAGCGTGTGGGCTTGAGTTACAGCATGGTGATTCCTGCCGAGGTACACAGAGGTTTCTCCAAGCCATGCAGTGCACTGCATGCAAATTTAGCTTTTACTAGTACCAAAAAAAGCCCCAAAAAACAAACAAACAAAAACCCAACCAACTAAACAAACAAAACAAAACAAGTTTCTGGGCTACATACTGCTTCCTAGAATTGGTGGTAGGTGTACCTCCACCATACTGGTAAGTGTAGGTGCGCAGAGTCAGCAGCCAAGGCCACCGTGTTGGTCCTAGCCACGCAGTTTAGCAGTTTAAGATCTCTTCTTGTCAGAGAAGGATTATAGATTCACAATGAGACAGATTCAAATGGAATAAACCTCTAAATGGTTTATAGTGTATGTAAAAATGTACTTAGGCTTGGAAGAGAGAGGAAAAGGAGGATAGACAGTTATAAAAGGAAATAGTTTTTAAAAATAAAGTCTCTAAAGAGACAATAAGAATAATATAAAAAAATGAGCCACATAAAGATGGAAATTACGCCAGGCGGTGGTGGCGCACGCCTTTAATCCCAGCACTCGGGAGGCAGAGCCAGGCGGATCTCTGTGAGTTCGAGGCCAGCCTGGGCTACCAAGTGAGTTCCAGGAAAGGCGCAAAGCTACACAGAGAAACCCTGTCTCGAAAAACCAAAAAAAAAAAAAAGATGGAAATTACACAGAGAATCTGGATTATATTGTCTTTGGAATTTTAAACTGCAGAAAAGACATTTGATTGTAAAGGTTGCTGAGTTAAGCATATATATATATATATATATATATATTTAAAGGTGTCTTGACTTCAAAGTTTGTGTCTAAGGATATGTTGCTTTGAAAAAGAGGTTCTGCTTTTGTTTCCACAGAAGATGAGAACCTGTGGATTGCTTCCAGGTTAATATGGTTTGATCAGCCAAGACCCCCTGAAAGGTTTCCAATGACACCATGGCCCAGATGATCCAACATCCGGAATGGCTTCAAGGCAACTGACTCAGACAATGCAGCCTCACAGACTATTCCAGTCAGGACTTGACCATAATTCTTAATTTTCTCAGGATCCTCATAAGATTGCCAGTATCCCCATGCAGCAGGAAGTAGTATGAGAAGCTATGCCCAAATTCCCAAAATATTGTTTATAAATGTTTATCTTTATTTAAAGGGGGTTAATTATAAATATAATCTCTTTATAAAGAAGCAAAGGGGATAATATAGATATGATATGATAAGGGTAGATTATTGAACCTACTTTTTTTTTTTTTTTTTTTTTTGGTTTTTTCGAGACAGGGTTTCTCTGTGTAGCTTTGCGCCTTTCCTGGAACTCGCTTGGTAGTCCAGGCTGGCCTCGAACTCACAGAGATCCGCCTGGCTCTGCCTCCCGAGTGCTGGGATTAAAGGTGTTTGCCACCACTGCCCGGCGAACCTACTTTTAAAGAGCAACAATTTGTTTAAAATGTTTTACATTGCTGTAGATTTTAGTTTATTACAAATTTAAAGTTAATTTTGTTATACTGTATATATATATTTCTACTCTTTTTTAAGGTATTATATTTATGTAACTCATTTAAATTGTAATGGATAATTAAGAAATACAGTTATGATAGTCAAAATTATAATCATGTTAGTTAAGTTATCTAGGTATACATAGATATATTTCAATTAGGTAGATAATATTCAAACTCTTCAAAGACTTACAGAATATGGCATTTAAAATGTTTTTAAAACTTAGACTTTCCTGGACAATGAGACATGTCTGCTCCTGGCATCACTAATTTACTTCAAAGAGGAGAATGGGCATCAAAGACACTCTATATGGAGTTTATCTTCTTCTTGGCAAAACTGGCCATTTGGGCAAGAAACTGTTCTTGCCTGGACTGACTGACAAAATGTTGTATAGACTAGACATTCAGGATGCATGGAAAAATGACCACTAAATTTTTCCAAAACAAGGCAAGATGGTCCTTCAGGTTCCTGCTTTGTAGAGGAAACTGCAAGATATTCTGCAGGACACAGGGAGAAGAGACTAAAAAACTCTAGATCTATTGGCTTAAGATGGATGCCCCAATGTTAAAGAGGAACTTTGGATGACTGTCCAGGCAGGCAGCTGTCTCTGTCATTTCCAGAATTTTGGAAGTTGCTCACAATGCATTTCCTGTTTACTTAGGTAATGTTATATCCTTCTGAGGTCTTTGATGTAGTTGAAGACTGGATAGTTATAATTATAATTTTCCTTGGTTATGATAAAAGAGAAATTAGATATGAAACCTTAGACTTACAAATATAGGATAGATAGAATATTTTCTTTAAATTTGTCAAATATAAATAGACTAGATATTGTAACTGTAATTCTTGTTGATAACTGTTTTGTTATATATAACTTTACTAGGTTAAAGTTAAAACCTTCCTTTTTGATTAGACAGGAAAGGGGAAGTGCTATGTGATGTCTTTCTGTATGCTGTGAATATGTGTTGCTCTGATTGGTTGATAAATAAAGCTGCATTGGCCTATGGCAGGGCAGGATGGAGCCAGGTGGGAAAATCCAACGGAGATAGTGGGAGGAGAAAGGGGAGGAAGGAGCTGCTGTGAGCTGCCAGCAGGAGAAGCAAGATGTGAAAATACCGGCAAGCCAGGGCCACGTGGCAACTTATAGATGAATAGAAATGGGTTAATTTAAGACATAAGAGCTATCTAGTAAGAAGCTTGAGCCATAGGCCATTCAGTTCATAATTGATATAAGCCTCTGTGTGTTTACTTGGGTCTGAGAGGCTGTAGGACCAAGTGGGACACAGGAAAACTTCCAGCTACAGGTGTGTGTCATGACACCCAGGTTTTTTATATGCGTGCTGGTGACTGAACTCAGGTCTTCATGCTTGCACAGTGTATTAGTTACTTTTTTTTTTTTTGCTGTGACAAAATACCGTGACCAAAAGCAACTTAAGGAAGGAAGGGATTTATTTGAGCTTACAATTCCAGAGGATTGGAACCCATCATGGTGGGGAAGGCATGGGAGCAGGAGCTAGAGGTCAACCTGGCAGTCAGGAGGTGGAGAGATCACATTCCATCAGCACACAGGAAGCAGACAGGGAGAATAGGAAGTGGGGTAAGCCATGAACTCTCAAAGCCTGCCCCAGTGACATACTTCCTGCAGTAAGGCGCCACCTCCTCAAGGCTCTAGAACCTTCCTAACCATCACTTCCAACTGGAGGCCAAGTGTTCAACAATATGAGCCTACAGGGGACGTTCTGCACATTCAAATCATCACATGTGGCAAGTGTTTTACTGACTGAGCTGTCTCCCCAGGCTTGGAAATTTTACTGTCTATACATATCCAATAGCGTCTGCCTGGAAGTGACCTCCCTTTATCAGGTAATTGACAAAAATGGGGGCCTAAATTATCTTCACCCTCAACTAAATCTGGCCACAACCACCTGTTCTAAAAGGACAAACAATGATTCTGTCTTTATAAGTCCCTCCACTAACCCCCAAGGATGGACTCCTGGTATGTCAGATAACTAGACCAGATCACAGCCACAGTGACCATGCTCACATTAAAGGACTCTCATGCTTTTTCTAACCATAAACAATATTTTCTCAGGCCTAAAGCTGGAGTGAGGCTTAGACCCTAGCCAGTAAATTCTTCTGTTACAGACTTTTAAGTCCTTGCCATTCACCCAATCCTACCTCAGTGCTGGCCATTAAAATTATTGCTCGATTGGTCCTCCTGAGATCACTGCAAAGTGGTAATGGTCTTTCCTTAATTTCCCAGACCCCTCATTCTCTAGCTAAGTCTCTGGGCATTAGATATTATCTTCATTTTTCTTGCAGACCTCAGTGCTCTGGAAAGATGGGATGAGCTAATCGGAGCCCAGAGTTTTCCATTGAGCAACTCTACCACGGGGCTGGAGAGATGTCTAAGTGTTCACTGGGCAAGCTTGAGGACCTGAGTTCACATCTCCAGGACCCACAGGAAAAGCCAGGCAGGGTGATGTAATCTGGTAATTCCCCTGCTAGGAGGCGGGGACAAGAGGAACCCCGAGACTCACTGACCAGTCAGTCTAGCAAATCAGTGAGCACCAAGTTCAGTGAGAGATCTTGTCTCAAAGAATAAAGCACCCAATGTTGACCTGTGGCTTCCATATATGCATACACAGGTACTGCATACCTGCCTATGTACACACTAGCACGAATGGTTATACAACACACACACACACACACACACACACACACACACACACACACACACACAGAGAGAGAGAGAGAGAGAGAGAGAGAGAGAGAGAGAGAGAGAGAGAGAGAGAGAGAGAGAAAGAGAGAGAGAGAGAGAACACTTTGCCAGGAGATTCTCACTTAGGGAGCAATATTGCAGTAATCCTCCTTAGGTCTTCATTCAGAGCTCTTGGCTTAAGCATCTTTGAGGCATTTTATGGCATAGTTGTTGTTGTTTTTTTTATGTATTCAAATCTGCTTCTAGATAATGAAGCCCAATCTTTAAGCCAATTTGTCTCTAGTCCCAATGAATTCCATCAGGCTATCAAAATTATGGGTTAGAGGAACTGCCTAATCTATCTGGAACCAAAACCTGTTTCCAATTTATGGGGAGGGCCTCAGGGCCAAGCATTGCTTCCTCTTTGGAAAAGTCCTTTTCCCAATGCTTTAGCATCTCTGGCAACCATCAAGGTCTCAAGATTTGCCGGGTGGTTCATCATTCCTGAGTCAAACCTTGGAAAGGAGACCTTCCCATTGGAACATCTCCTGTAGACCCTTGAGAAACTTAGCAATAAGTGACCTTACAAACCTATTCAGATGAGAGGAAAAATAAAAACGCTGGTTGCCTTCTGTCTTATTTCAAAGCCACCCTTGGCCGTTTGTATGGGTTTCCAGCCAGGCTTCTGTTTCTGCCTTTTTATACATCCAAGATAAAACTGCCAGGTCATGCTGCTAATCTGTTAGTGAACTCAAAGTATTCTCTGTTGGCACGGTCATCTAGCTTCCATTTTTATCATATCTGTAGGATTAGAAGATGTCATTTGATCAGGGTTAAATGCCGTATCCGTTACTTTTCTATTGCTGTGATAAAATACCACAACTAAAAGTAACAGAAAGTTTATTTTGGCTTGTGGCTCTAGAGGGAGAGAACATATTGACCAGGAAGGCATGGCATGGTAGCAGAATCAGGAATTGTTTCATTACATCCTATCCATACGGGAAGTGGGGTGGGGTGGGGGAGGGGGAATGTCAGGAAGTGGACTGAGGCTACAAACCCTCCTGCCCCCAGTGATGTGTTTCCTCTAGCAAGGCTCTGTCTCCTGAAGATTTCATAACCTTCCCAAACTGCACCACCAAAGGAAAAACACGAGGATTCAAACACGTGAGTCTATGGGGGCCATTTTCCATTCAAACCACAACAGACGCTCTGTGTATATTCCTGATGATTCTGCTGATGTCTTCTGCTTCCCATGATCTGCAAAATCAGATCCAAGCCGTGTCAGGAACTGCCATTCCCTCAGATGTGTTGCTTTAGAACTGGGCCTCGGATTTTCGTGGTGGAAATGGGCTGGACTTAGTGGCGATCCTGTCAGTCTTGGAACTTTGCATGCTTAACTGCTTTTTAATTGTATCTCTTTTTCTTAACCATTAATCTACCCTTGGATAGTACTGTAGCTTTCTAATTCTATCTATCTGGGCCTTTCTTATCATCTTCCAAGGCCTGAAAGTTAGCAACAGTGGAGACCCTGCTTCAGTGGGAAGTAGCTAGAGTGACTTGTCTATGTCCTAAATAATATTAGGATCCCAACTCTTGGTCAGGGGTTGTTTGGTAGCAAGTGAGATATTAACAGGCTTGAAGGTCATTGAGGTTGGACCCTTCACTTATGTCAACCATTGTGGAACCAGGAAGTGAAACTGTAGGACTCTGATGAGTGTCTGAGTTTTATCCCTGGTCCTAGGTGGAGGCGTGATATTGGAAATTGTCCAGAAAGCTTTAAGACTACTGCATAGCTGCAAGATATACCATTATCCCTAACCATGAGTTAATCCAAATGGGCCTGTCAATCTTCTAGAAAGGATAATGCCCCTCAGGGGATGTCTGTTCTAGATACTTTAAGAAATGTATCACTGGGGGGGGGGGGGTGGAGGTGGCACATGCCTTTAATCCTAGCACTCTGGAGGCAGAAGCAGGCAGATCTCTATGAGTTCAAGGTCAGACTGGTCTGCAGAGTGAGTTTCAGGACAGCCAGAGGTACACAGAGAAACCCTGTCTCAAAAAACAAAAACAAACAAACAAACAACAAGAAACTAGCAGTATCAAGCCTATGTAAGGGCCGATCCATATGTGATTGTCTACTCACACACATGGAAGTGTTCTGTTCCACAATGGTCCTTTTGGTCACTGTCCACTCTGACCCCTTGAGGATATGCTGACCTACCCTCTGCAGTAAACCCTGGCTATCTTCTACATCACACTCTGTTTCTCTTCCAAATTCTTTCCGTGGAGCTCACAGGCCTGGGGAATGAGGGGGTTACAGAGGAAAATCCCAGTAACACTACCAGGGTCCATAACAAAAAGAGATTCTAGTAGGGTTTATCTGTGTGTTGTCAAATGAAGTCTCCCTGGGCAAAATACAACCTGAAAAACCTTTGTTTTCACAGTGTGGAGTAACCTGGGTCAGGGAGCAGCCTGGTCCCGAGAGTTGGGGCCACAGGGTTCAACCTATGTCATCACTTCACCTGTGGCTCAGGATTTCCAAAGCAGAAAGGTTTTCAGCTTGGAAATCACATGCCACTTTTGTCTCCTTCTGTTGCTCCAAGCAAGGCAAGGCTAGCTCCGATTGAAGGGAGAGTGGATGAGAGTTCTGCTTCTGTTTCTTGATGGTCAGAGCAGCACACATCAAGGGCTTTGTTTGTTTGTCTGAGGCGGTGTCTCATGCAGTCCAGGCTGGCTTCACACTCTCTCTATAGTCAAAGATGGTCTTGGACTCCTGGTGCCCCGCCTCCAGGATGTGGTCATCAGAGCATTTCTACAGCTGACCCGAAGAACCACTGATTTGGCAAATATTTACTCTCTGTGGTGCACTAGGCTGGACACATGTCTTCTTGGGAGACACACATCTCGCTAGGGCACAGGTGCCAAACACAGGACAGGCTGGGGAATGTGTAGAGGTAGAGATGGAGTCGGCATAGCTCCGCCCCCCCCTTCCCCCCCCCCCCCCCCGACCAACCACACTAATAAGCTCGGTTATTATCCCCCGCTGGCATGATAGGCCACCACATGACACACTGAAGCTTTCAGAGGCCAACTCACGCGAGAGCAAAGGAGGGCATCTTCTAGAATGAACAGCATGCTGGGTTGTCATGGGCCTCAGTCTGATCAGAACATGCAAACTGCTCATGGCTTCACCTTCTGCACACATGAAAGGGGAAAAGTGAAGCTCTAGTCATTTCAGAGAAAACAAATCATTATTCTGGGCTTATACATAAGTAGACAAGCATATGAAAGGAATCTATTTCTTTGATGTTATCACTGATCTGGAGTCTGGCTGCTTTGAAAGCCAGCCTTGCTTGGCCTAACATCTCAAAGCAGCTAGAGAGGAAACTAGAGAAGGTGTAGGTGTATGGTGTGTGTAAGAGAGAAGTGTGTGTGTGTGTGTGTGTGTGTGTGTGTGTGTGTGTGTGTGGTGTGTTTGTATGTGTGAGAGTGTGTGTGTATGAGAGGTGTGTGTGTGTATAAGAGGAGTGTGTTTGTGAGTGTGTGTGTGTGTAAGAGAGAGAAGTATGGTGTGTATGAGAGATGTGTGCAGGAGTGTGTATATGAGTGTGTGTGTATGAGAGAAGTGTGGGTATGAGAGGGAGAGAGAGAATAACATCTTTTCATCTCTGAGTACAGAACACAGATGTTGGCTTACTTTCTGTTTTGTGCTGATTACATCAAGAACTTGGTCTCAGGAGTCTCCCTCCTCCAGGGAGAAAGCTCCTGCAGTAGCTTGGGGGTGGACTCTGGCAGCAGCACCTGTCTCCTGACCCTCCATCTTCAACAGCAGCAGCAGCAGCGCTTGCTGGGGCAGAAAGCCTGACCACAGTCTGTGTCACCCAGCATGCAGCTGTCCCTTCCCTCTGAGCAGCACACAGCATCTCCGCCATCACTGCAGAGATACCCAGGGATGACCTTGTCTTGTCCTGGTCCTCTTGTGGTCAGTGAACACAGAGGTTCCTGTAAGGCAGAGGAAGAGGCTGGTGAAGAGGGATCCAGATGGCATCATCTCAGCCTGTGAAGTGTGGTGTGTGTGTGTGTGTGTGTGTGTGTGTGTGTGTGTGTGTGTGTGTGTGTAGAGTTCAGGAGCACGGACTTTGAGTCTAATAGCAATGCCACTTGTGAAGAGGGTAAATTTGGGGCAATCACTAAATGTTGCCCCACTCTGGCTCCTTACCTGTAAAATGGGGCTAATAATTGTGTATTTCATAGGGCTGTGAGCTTGGGTATAATATATCTAAGCTGTTTAGCATGTGATAATTACTTAATAAACAGTAGTCATACTTCATTAAGGACAACACTACTAGGTGTTAGCGTGTGGAGAAGAGCGTCAGCAATCATAAACCCCAAGAGTCTCTCTGCTTGGGTTCTCACCCTAGATGTTCACTCTCTTCCTCCCACCCTCCTTCCCAGTGTCTACAGGGTTTCCAGCTCCACAGACAGAATGATATTATAAAGGGTGACATATTTTATAGTGTCTTCAAGAAGAACATAACTCCCTCGGCTGTGAGAGTCTTGTCCCTGGTAGTATTTGAGCAGAGTCAGTTGGCAAGGATATGCAGAAGGGGTCATGTGAGAGGGTAGCCACCGGCTTTGAGGGCCTCTGGATGCAGAATATGGTGTGGGGGTTTGAAGGAAAATGGTCCCCAAAGGTAGTGGCACTATTAGGAGGTGTGGCCTTGTTGGAGGAAGTGTGTCACTGTGGGGGCGGGCTTTGAGGTCTCTTTTTCTCAAGCTTCTCTCAGTGTGACCCTCAGTCGACTTCCTGTTGTCTGCAAGATGTAGCCAGCACCATGTCTGCCTGCACACCGCCATGCTCCCCATTATGATGATAAAGGACTGAACCTCTGAAACTGTAGGCCAGCCTCAATTAAATGTTTTCATTTGTAAGAGTTGCCATGGTCATGGTGTCTCTTCACAGCAATAAAAACCCCAACTAAGACACTGTCCACTGATCAGGCAGCTGGCTCAGAATGGCTCTCACACCAGAGATATGTCCATTCTCTATTAAGATACCAAAGGTGAAAGGCACGAGAACCAAATGGTGTTGTGATTTCCTTTCTTAATAATTGAACATGCTCTTAGCTATGACCCAGTTAAGGAGCTATTGTTTCTTGAAACCTAAGTGTGAAGACTTCCCTCACTTCTCTGGTGACTGACTTTGGAGGTCCCACCCAGTTCTGCCGGTGAATGACTGTGGAGGTCCCACTCAGTTCTGCTGGTGACTGACTGTTGAGGTCCCATCCAGTTCTGCCGGTGACTGACTATGGAGGTCCCACCCAGTTCTGCTAGTAACTGTGGAGGTCCCACTCAGTTTTGCCGGTGACTGTCTGTGGAGGTCCCACTCAGTTCTGTCAGTGACTGACTGTGGAGGTCCCACTCAGTTCTGTCGGTGACTGTCTGTGGAGGTCCCACTCAGTTTTGCTGGTGACTGACTGTTGAGGTCCCATCCAGTTCTGTCAGTGACTGACTGTGGAGGTCCTACTCAGTTCTGCCAGTGACTGTCTGTGGAGGTCCCACTCAGTTTTGCCGGTGACTGTCTGTGGAGGTCCCACTCAGTTCTGCCGGTGACTGACTGTGGAGGTCCCACCCAGTTCTGCCAGTGACTGTCTGTGGAGGTCCCACTCAGTTTTGCCGGTGACTGTCTGTGGAGGTCCCACTCAGTTCTGCTGGTGACTGTCTGTGGAGGTCCCACCCAGTTCTGCCAGTGACTGTCTGTGGAGGTCCCACTCAATTCTGCTGGTAACTGTCTGTGGAGGTCCCACCCAGTTTTGCCGGTGACTGTCTGTGGAGACCCCATTCATTTGGTTACTCAGTGGTGTTGCCTGCCTCTCTGTGGTCTCATCTTTGACCGGGTTTGAAGCCCACGTGACTTCCTTTTTCTCCCTGACAGTACCAGGGCATTCTCCACACACCAGTGAGGGACTTAGCAGAGGGTTCTTCACTCCCAGGCTCTGTGCCCAGACTCACTTCATTTTTGCCATTATCTTTTTTAAATGCTGTGGCAGGGCAGCAGGCATGATGGGGAATTAAGTTTAATTAAGCCAGTTGGCTCCTCCAAGCCAAGAGTTGTCATTTATTTTCTGAGATAAAATGTTGGTATCCTTGGGGCTTTTCCTCTCCTAAAGACTTTTCACCACAAAGTCTGGATGCCAGAGCAAATTATATATAGTTCAAAGGTCAGTCTCTGAAGCAAGATGGGTTGTTCAGATTCTCTCAGTATTCCTCATGGTACGTGGGTGAGTCCCTTGCCCTGTTCCTCAGTTTCCCTGCCCGTAACCTACACAGAGTCAACGCCAGCGCTCACCATTCTGTTTGCCTTTAGGGAAACAACTGGAGGCTGTGGCATTCTCCAGGTAGAGGAGGCTTTTGTTTCTGTCAACAGCATGTCACTGTACTTTCTTCCTGTGAAGGTTCAGCGATGTGTGTGGCCTGGGGACGCCCAGGGGAGCGAGACACTCAGGTGAGTGGATTTGAGTCAGAGGGTTTTTTTTTTTGGTTCTATGTGACAGATGCGTGCAATCGAGCCTAAGCTGAAGGGATTTATTTGCTTTGTTGGAGCTGTTGCAGAGCACATTGGGAAGTATAGGGAGGTGGCTGGGATCTCGGCTTCAGAGGCAGCCGGATTTAAAGATCTGAATGCATCAGAATGGCAGAGACGTTAACTGTCACCCCTTAGGCACAGTTTATCTTGTTTTTGAGTCAGGAGCTTTCACTGGTTTGGAGCTTGCTAAGTGGGTGAGACCAGCTGGCCCGCAAGTCCCAGGAATCCTCCTGTCTCTGCCTCCCATTATAAGTGTGTCCCACCGTGCCTGCCTTTTAATCTGTAGGTTCTGGAAGCTTGCATGCTAAACTCTTTACCAGGTGAAGCATCTCTCTGTAGCATCCCTGCTAGGGGCTTTCTTCTTTATGGTTAGCCAGTCTGTGATGGTTAGCAGTCTGGGGTCTGTGCTGGCTCTCAACCTGCTATGACTTCTCAATTTAGGTGCCTCTAGGCTCTGGGACAAATTTTTGTGTGTCAGCCCCATGAGCACCCACAGGTCCATCTTAGCCATGGCCACCCTGGCCTAGAGTGTCCCTCTCTTTGTCCCCACCTTACACATCCACTCTGCCTATGGCGAGATGAAGTGATAGTTCCCAGCCTCCTGCGGTAGAGGTTTGGAACTATTAGAAGCATGTGCTCACTGAGGATGTGGCCCGCACCCTTAGGATTCAGTTACCCTAACCTGGGGTCTGGCACCTGCTTCCTGGTGAGGAGGGGCCTTTTACCTCCAGCCCCGCATCCTCAATTTACCATCCACTTTCATGGTCACGTGAAGCAGTTGCTGGTCCTGTTAAAGAAGAGAAGACTTTGAGCTAATGTTGCTTTCTGTCCTTCCTCTCCTGCTTGGGGAGTCTCGGTTTCCTGACTCATCTAAATTTCCGTTCACCTTCTAAGGCTTAATGGTCCCTCCTCTGTGACCGATCCTGGTAGAGCTGACCAGTTTCAGGGTGCTGAGGTCACCAGTGATCTCGATTCTGACCAGCATCTGCCTGATCTTGCTTGATAGCTTTTACTACACTCATAGCCACACCCTCCTGAATGCATCTGAATGCTAAGCAGGGTCAGGCCTGGTTAGTAATTGGATGGGAGACGAACTGGGAATAGATGGTGCTGTGTGCTTTAAGAAAAGAAAAGAGGCCGGGCGGTGGTGGCGCACGCCTTTAATCCCAGCACTCAGGAGGCAGAGGCAGGCGGATCTCTGAGTTCAAGGCCAGCCTGGACTACCAAGTGAGTCCCAGGAAAGGCGCAAAGCTACACAGAGAAACCCTGTCTCAAAAAACAAAACAAAAAAAAAAAACAAAAAAAAAAAAAGAAAAGAAAAGAAAGTGTGGTTTAGTGGTTTAAGTTAAAGCCCAGCAGCTGTACCCCAGCTCAATTTTTAAGATTGATTTATTTTAATTTATGCTCATGTTCGTGTACCACATGCACACAGAGGTCAGAAGAGGGCATTGGATCCTCTGGATCTGCTGTGACAGTTGTGAGCCATCATGTGGATGCTGGGAATCAAACGTGGGGTCTCTGCAAGAGCATTAAGTGCTCTCAACGGCTGACCCATCTCTCCAGCTCCCTCAGCTCCTAGTTCAAAAGGCACTCCTTGTATTTGTTACTTGTCCCTTCGCTGTGACAAAATACTCAAAAAGAGTGACTTGAGGGAGTGTGATGGCTAATCTTGGTTGCCAACTTGACCGGATCTGGAACCAACTCAAATGCAAAACTGGGCATTCCTGTGAGATGCTTCTTGATCTGAGTATCTGAGGCAAGGAGACCCACTTTAAGTGTGGATGGCGCCCTCTGGTGGCAGCCCAGATAATAGGACATGGAAGAAGGAAACTGCTTTGGGCCCCCTAGCGGCGGGCACCTTCGTCGACACAGTCACAGTTGCCCTCCTTTGCTGTTACAGAACCGACTTCTTTGGGCTCCTGGCATAGGCTGAAGACCAGCAACTCTCCAGGAATCCTTCAGGTCTAGCCCCAGACAGATAGAGACATCCAGCCTCATGGGCTGGGCAGCTTCCAGGTTCTCCACCTCACCAGTTGAGACAGTCTGGACCACATTGTGTGAGCCAGTCTAATTAATCTCCTTTTAACATGAGCATATTCATTCTATCAGTTCTGTTCCTTTAGAGAACCCTGGCCAATGATACGGGAGGAAGGGTTTCTTTTGGCTTACAGTTCTTGGGGACACAGTCACACAGACCATATAATGGCAGAAGCAAGAGGTCATGCTACAGCCATAGTCACAAGCCGGAAAGCACTGAATGAATGTGCTCTGCTCAGTTTCTCCTTTTGATTCAGTCCAGGGCCCCAGCCCATGGGATGAGGATGCCCATGGTTAGGGTGGGTCCTCCCACTTTAACTGACATAATCTAGACAATCCTCTACAGACTTACTCAGAGATTTACTTCCATGGTGGCTCTAAATCCCATGAAACTGGCAATCGTGGTTAACCATCACATTCCTTAGGTGCAGGGGGTGGTGGGGAGCTCTGTCCCAGGTCCCAGGATCGGCTTTATGACTGCTCTAAAGCAGGGGCTCTTTGGTGTGTATACGTGACAGAGCAGCCTGGGGATGGACATCAACTGATTGCCGGGGGTCCAGAGTCCGGGTGGGAAGGCAGCCTTACTTACAGGGTAAACACTATTTCTCAAGCATATGCATTGGGCTTGCTAGATGTTCTACAGCCACAGATAGAACATACTTGGTAAAAAGCCAGGCAGGGCAGTGCACATCTGCAATCCCAGAACTCAGGATCCCGAGGCAGGAGGATCATGAGTTTGAAACCAGTTTGGGTTGCATAGCAAGGCCTTTTGTCATTGTTGTTGCTGTTTGTTGTTAATTTAAAGTTAGCTACAAAATGATGGGTATTGTTATGACTTAAACAAGCAAACAAATAAACCCCCAAACCAGGGTCTCACTCAGAAGTCCTGGCTGGCCTAGAACTCATAGAGATCTACCTGCCTCTGCTCCCGAGTGCTGGGATGAAAGGCATGTGCCACCATGCCCAGCTGTTACAGCATTTTATACATCTGTGCCACTGTGCTTGTTCTGATTCGTCATCCTTGATGTTCTCCCCCACCCAACAGTCCACTTCTCTCCTCTCTCATGGTTCCTCTTTCTATTCCTGTCACTTATGTTCCATCACTCTCTCCTTTTCCTTTCTCTCCCCTTAAAAACCTCATCCTTTCCTCCATGGTCTCATAGTCCCCTTTCTATATTCATGGCACACACACACACACACACACACAGTCTGTATTTGCCATATGAGAGAAAACATGGCACAGGGCTGGGGAGAAGGCTCAGCTGTTAAGAGCACTTACTGTTTTTTCAGAGGACTTGAGTTCGGTTCCCAACACTGAGAGACTCACAGTCGCCTGTAGCTCCAGCTTCAGGAAGTTCAACACTATCTTCTGGCCTCTGTGAGCGCCTGCACTCAGGTTGCACACCTTACCTCAACAAGCACACATAATAAAAACTAAAATAAAGCTTAATAAAATAACATAAAGCACGGCAGTTGTTTTTCTGAGTATGGCAGGCAAGCCTGTGTCTTTTCAGAAAACAAAGAGACTGAGGAGGAAGAGGAGGGAGAGGAGGAGGAGGAGGGGGAAGAAAGTGCAGAGAACGCACCTACAGTGAATACACGCATCTTTTCCTTGTAATTATCATCTAGGTGATTCAGCAGCTGTTTAACTATTCAAATTGTGTGAGGTGGTTTAAAGTGTAGAGGAGGATGTGCCTGGGTTGTAGGCAAATACTGTGTGGTTTCATGTAAGAAAACTGTACATCCTTGATCTGGGTGCCTAAGAAGCTTCTGGAACCAGCACTGAGGGACAACTGTACAGACGACTGGCTTTGGGGGTCTTGTGGACGCTCTTGTGGTGAGCGAACCCCAGACGGACTCCAGGACTCTGAAGTTGAGAGCACTCCTCTGTGGGTCCTGTGGTTCTCAGTCAGCACCCGCTAAATGCACAGTCCTTTGTGAGAATGAGGTTGGCACCTGCCAAGTTTGGAAGCAATTCTCACCTGGCCTGGCCTGCCTTCCTCCAGGACAAGGGGTCAAGAATGCTGTCCCTCAGAGTCTGTGTTTCCAGGGGAGAGTTTTGGCAGGCAGGAGAGCAGATGGGGCCAAAGAGATATGGAAATCTCAGGGTGCCACCGTGCTGAGTTCCTGTGGCTCTGAGAAGAGAGGCCCCAGGGAAGGCAGGAAAGAGTCATCCTGCTCCAGACCACATTTCCATGTTCAGATGAGTCACCCAGGTAACCAGGCTTTCCTTAGCCTTGGGATTCCCAGCTTGAGCTCTGCCCTCCCCACTGCCCCGCCCCCGCCCCCCCTCCATTTTTTAATGCTTTGTCTGCCCCTTCTGTGCTTTCTCCTCATCAGATCTTTCTGAGCGGACCCAAATGCATTCTCCTAGCCAAGAATGGCACCTGGAAAGTGACAGATTAGGGACATCTGGCATCGATAAGTCACAGCTGTCTGCACGGAAGTGCCCCCTACTCCAGGTTGTTACCTGGGCAGCTTCCCCCACATCCCCATGTAGAGTAGACTGACACTTGTTTCTGACAATGGACCAGAAAGGAGATTGTGAGATGAATTTTGCATGTGACAACTTGTCTGGAAATTCTACCTTGAAAAAATTAAATATGGATAATACTATCTCCTTCACTTTACCTTGACCAGTAAATCACAGGACGGCAAACTTATCAATGCATGTTCAGAGAATCAAGCGTAGACTTCAGATTTCAGAACTGGCATTGGAGGGGGCAGCACTGCACAAAAGGGGGACTCTGAGGCACTTTCAGGATGACACTGGCCTTCCTGGCCACAGGGGAAGACAGAAGGGCACTCTGGTAGCCTGGCTTCTGTTCAAGTTCACCACCCCCAGTGTGATCCTTCAAAAATCATTTAACCTCTGGGCCTGGGGGCTGGGATTGGATACTGGTTCCCAAGGCCATGGATTCCACACCTAGACAAGCAAACAGTCACAGCCCTCTGGTTTTTGGCATCGCTGGGGAATTGCGCCTCAGACCTTAGGAGGCCGGGGGCATGATGTTAAATAATCTCCCATCTCTCAATGATAAAATTATTGTTTGCTTCAAGTCTTTCATGGCTTTTAGCTAAGGCAAGCCTTGGTCCACTGTGTCCCTCTGCCTCTAACATCCCAGATCTGTGGGCTGATCCCCATTTGTGACAATGACAAGGAAAGGTGGGGTCCAGAGAGAGTCACACTGCCATTTGGCATGTCACCTGTGTGTTTGGGCATGGTGTTAGATTTTCTGCACTGTCAGAGATGGCAAAAGATTTTTCTTGTTTTTAAATATTTATGTAGTGTGTGTGTGTGTGTGTGTGTGTGTGTGTGTGTGTGTGTGTGTGTGTGTGTGTGTGTTGTATGGGACTATCCTCTGAGCCAAACTGCCTCCATCTTCATCAGATCAGCTGGGCCTGGAAGATCAGTGTTAATACCAAGATTTGATTTAATAACATGAAGTAGCTTTAAAAACACTTTGACCACACAATGAGACTTATGGACTGCTGACATTTCCTCAGAGGAGAGGGTGGAGAGGATCATGGGACCCTCACATGGGTATCTGATGACATTCTTCTGAACCAGTTGTTTGCAGGTCTGACCTAGTTGCACATGGCCCCAGGATCATAGGAAGGGCTAGAAAATATAAGAGGGGAAAGACTAACCAAGGAATACTCCATCTACACAGCCATAGAGAAGTCATCATCCATGCTAAGCGAAGACCTTCCAGAATGACTGCCTAAGGCTGCCCACGTCCTGCCCATTACCTCTCACTCACTGCTCTGTAAGTACACCTAATAAGCTCACTGGATCCCCAGACTGAACTCTGGTGGAACTGTAACTTGTACCTGGGTTTATCAATGGGGCCTTAGGAGTGTGGTAGACACTTTACAATCTCCTCTAGAAAAGAATTGTAGTACAGTATGTGTTGGCTGGGGAGTGCCATTCCATGTCTGTGGAAGTCAGGGACTGACTTGCAGGAGTTGGCTCTTACCTTCCAACCTGTCAGGTCTGGGAATCAAATTCAGATCACTGGGCTTGGCAGCAAGTGTCTTTACCTGATGAGCTGTATCACTAGCAGATTTTTCTTTTAAACAAAATGCATTTAAGTAATTTGTTTATTGAGAAATATTAATTTCAAAGATGGTACTTAGATCCTGCAAGAAAATATGGCATTTGCTCATAAACGTGGACACACAACTCACCTTCCAGAACTACAGGTTCCCATCTGTGGATTCAACCAAACTCAGACTGAAAGTATCAGAGAGAGCAATTTCATCTTTACTTAACATGTAGACTTTTCTCCTTGCCAGTATTCCCTAAGCAATACAGTGTAACAACCATTTGCATAGTATTTACATTGTACTAGATGTAAGCAACCTAGCGATGATTAAAAGTCTGGTAGAGGATGTATGTAGGTTATATGCAAATTCCACCCAATTTGTACAAGGAATTTGAGCATCTGGCTTTTGGTACTCAAGAGAGCTTTGCCATTAATTCCCTTTCAACAGTGAGGGAACATATGTGTAGTTGGAGATATTTATTAACAACCTTCCTTCCTTCCTTCCTTCCTTCCTTCCTTCCTTCCTTCCTTCCTTCCTTCCTTCCTGTCTTTCTCTCTCTCTCCCTCCCTCTTTCTCTTTCTTTCTTCTTTTGTAGGTTAATGATACTCATCACACTGACTCTAAATGATATGGTGGTTTTGAAAATATATATATAGTATTTTTGTTAAAATCTTTGAGAATTTCATACAATGTAATTTGATCATATTTACGTCGTACTGTCCCCTTAACTCCTCTAGATGCATCCACCCATCCTCTGACCTCTCCCAACTTCATGTCCTTTTTTTAAATCTTTTTAGTTATTATAATTACATGTATACATGCCTATAAACATATAAACACAACCCACTGAGTTCATTAAGTGTCGCTGGGTGTATATGTTTTTAGGGATGGTATCAGATAACCAGGTAGGGGACTCATCTCTGGGGGAGACTGATTCTTCCTTTCTTATCAGTCACTAATTGCCTGTAGCTCCTCATCGAAGGGGCGGGGCGTTGTGAGATTTCCATCGTCCATGTTGCATGTCAACTAGTGTTGTTGTTCAGGTCTTGTTTAGGTAGCCGTGTTGTTGAGATTTCATGGGCACTGCTTTCCTGTCCTGTATAGAAGGTAACCTTGAAATAGATGTCCTTGTCACATCTCCCTCCTCCATAATATCCCCTGAGCCTTTGGGGTTATGTTGTAGATGTATTGGGGCCGGGCACCCCCTGGTTGATTGTTCTCTGCATTTTGACCATTGTAGCTTTCTGTAATGGACTCTGTTGCAAAAAGAAGCTTCCTGCTGAAGGGTGAGAGCCACACTCATGTGTGGGTGTAAGATCAGTAGTTAGCATGCAGTTAGGAGTTCCACTGGTTCAGGAAAGTGACAGCAGTATGTCCTCTTCTAGGTTCCGTGGTCTCACCAGCCATGAGCACTTGGTTTACAATGTCAGGCATTAATTACTTCCTATTGAGCACGCCTCAGGTCCAATTAGACAGGTAAGACCATGTTGCTGAAGACACCACCCACTTTGGATACAGGACTTGAGATGGAACTTTTGGATACAGGAGCTGAGATGGAACAGACCTGGAAGCCTCCTGCCTGAGGACTATCCCTTAATAGTATACTGGAAAGTACTGTGCAGGCTGCCAAAAGAGAAAAAGCAACCAAGAGTCCTACCCAGCTGTGATGCCTACAAGCCACAATGACCCGCATGGCAAGGTATCCACAAATGTACAATATTGGTATTTCTATTTTGGGGTTAACCAACTGATGGGATGTGTATTTACTTATTTATTTACTTACTTACTTATTACTTATTTATTCTACCTACCTACCTACCTACCTACCTACCTACCTACCTACCTACCTACCTATCTATATCTATCTACCTGCCTATCTCTATCTATCTACCTATCTCTATCTGTCTGTCTGTATGTCTATCTCTCTGTCTATCATCTATCATCATCATCATCATCTATCGAAACAGGGTCTCTCTATTAATCCCAGTTGCTCTGGAACTCACTATATAGACAAGACTGGCCTTGAACTCAAAGAGATCCACCTGCCTCTGCCCTCCTCACCCTAAATTCTAGGGTTAAAGGCATGCACTACCACTCTGTCCATCCTGGATGTGTGTGTGTGTGTGTGTGTGTGTGTGTGTGTGTGTGTGTGTGTGTGTGTGTGTGTGCATGTGTGTTTTAAAGGAACCCTGTACCTCTCTCTCTCCTTTATTTTGTGGATGTAGAATTCACCCAAGTTCTGAATTTCCGTGAGCTTAGTTCCATGCTGTTGCTACATCTGGCCACTAGATGGGGCTTCTCCCTTTGCTTCTGAGCGGGCTCCTGGCACTTGAAACATGTCACCATTTTCTGGACTTAATCAAACTTCATTGTTGGTAGGTTCCACAAATGCCCCCTCCCCCCTTCAACATTCAGGTCTCAGCGTAAACGTCACCTCCTCAGAGAGACTCACCCTGGTTCTCCCCCACCTGGAGCTATTTTACCGGTGCCATTGTTCCTATGGCAGGTGTGTGCTGATGTGGCCCAGTGACCCCAGGGACAATCAGGATTCTGCCCAGACTAGCCCCTGGCTCACAGTAGGTACTCCACAAGACCGCACTGGTGGTGGGCACGGGAAGGTCTTTCAGTGGCAGTGTAGACAAAGAGTCAGGCAAGAATGCACAAACCTCACCCCAAGCATTAGTCCCTCTCCCCAGCAGCCAGGTAGGTGGTCTGGGGTAAGTCATTTGGAGTGACCAAGATTCTGTCTTCTTATGTATGAAATGGGGAAAATAGTCACTATTCTGTCTGGTCATCTGTGTGTGTGTGTGTGTGTGTGTGTGTGTGTGTGTAGGCACATGTGTGCATGAGTGTGTGTGTGTGTGTATGTGTGTGTAGGCACATGTGTGCATGAGTGTGTGTGTGTGTGTGTGTGTGTGTGTGTGTGTGTGTGTGTGAATGTGTGTGGGCACATGTGTGCATGAGTGTGTGTGTGTGTGTGTATGTATGTGTATGAGTGAACATGTGTGGGCACATGTGTGTATGAGTGTGTGTGTGTGTGTGTGTGTGTGTGTGTGTGTGTGTGTGTGTGCATTAATGAATGTATATGGGCACATGTGTGTATGAGTGCATGTGTGTGCAGGCCTGAAGCTAATGTTGAGTGTTTTCATAGGCTACTTTCCACCTTATTCACTG